CGCAGCCGCCTGGGGACGTCCCCCCGCCCCCGGGGACCCGGGCCTCCCCAGCCCCCGCCGGCCAGGCACCTTCTCACTCTCCTCATCCTGAGCCAGGTACAGGGTCCTCTCCGGCAAGGTGAGCCCATCCTGGTCAATCTGGGGAGAGTGACGGTGCTGGAGGGGGGAGCTCGATGTGCCTGCTTCCCAGACTGAGTCCCCCAAGTGCCCAGACAGCACCTGCCACACATGTGCTGCCACCGCCCAGGAGCACAGGGACACCAGCGCCTCCCCACCCAGAGCTGCCTCGCATTCTGGGGACAGCTGAGGAGTCCTCCCATGCCCATCCGCCCTCACTTCACATGCTGGGCACGGGGAGGGGAAGAGGGAGTCCATTCTGGGATTTGGGACCCTGGCATTCCTGGCCAGTCCCTGCCCGGGCCGCGTTGTCCTCCCAGCCCTAGGTACCCTCCCTCCACTCTCCCGGATGCCACAAGGCTGGGATACGGGGCTCTTTGCACCCTGCCATCAGCCGGGAACGTGACCGCCGCCCTCCCGAGCTCCGCCCCTCCCGGTGCGCAGCGGCTCGGCCTGGTCCTGGCCATCTCGTCCCCACACTCACGCGGATGACATAGCGCGAGGAGTTCCTGTCGTCTAGGCTGACGGTGAGCGAGAAGAGTGCGGCGGCGCTGTACACGCCCTGCGCCTTGTACAGCAGCCGGTTCAGGTCCCAGCGCGCAGCGTCCCAGCCCCCGCAGTCGGCGATGACCTCGAGCATGGGCCGCGGCCCGAGCCGCTCGATCTCGCGCATGTCGAGGCAGGAGCGGAAGAAGGCGCGCACCTTGCGCTGTGCTGCGCCCCCCGGGCCCCCCGCCGGCCGCGCCAGCAGCCGCCGCAGGCGCTCCTCGTTCTGTTCGCCGATGGCCGCGATGGTGCCGTAGGTGAGCTTGTCGTCGGGGATAGCGTGGCGCCGCAGCCAGCCGCCGCACGCGAAGGAGTAGAAGTCCCGGCACGGGTCGATGCTGGAGTCCAGGTTGGCGGACAGAAAGCGCGCGGCGCGCGCGAAGGCCTTGCGCTCGGGGCAGCCCTCGGGACAGGCGCCACCGCCCGCCGCGCCGGGGCCCAGGTACTTGAGCGCCAGCATGGCGGCCAGGATGGCGCAGAGCCCGGCGGCGAACACCAGCCCCGACAGCAGGCACACCTCGCGCCGGTTCCAGCGCGGCAGCCCGGCGCGCGCCCCCGAGCCGCTGCGCCCGGAGCCCCGCGGGAAGCCGGGCGGCAGCGAGGCCCCCCGAGCGCCCCCCGCGCCGCAGCGGCTCACGTACTTGACCTCCTGGAACTCGTCGTAGTGCGCAGTCATCGAATACGGGGCCTCCATGGTGCGCGGTCCGTCCCCGGGGACGCTCTGGCGGGGTTTGTGAGCTACAGCAGGTGGTGGGCCGCCGGCCTCCTTGCGGGCGTCCGCATATCCTCCGCCGCAGCTGCGGGAAGAGCGGAGAAAGGATCAAAGGGGTGCGCACCCCTACAGGGCCCAGTGGCATGAAGCGGCCTGGTGGAAGCCTAGCTGTGAAGGCCAGAGGCCACCCGGATTCCCCGACTGCAGCCAGGGCCTCTTCCCCCTTCCCCACTGGGAGGAGAGGAAGGCTCAAAGCGGCCGCCACACCTGGCACTACACTGGATCTTGAACCAGTCCCCCTGCGTCCTGCGCACACAATGCCCACTGCAGACTTGGGAGACGCCTGCTAGAAAGCGGGAGACACGGCCACCGGCCCGGCACGGAGGAGGCCCCCACTGGCCTGCGGCTTCTCTCCCTCTTCTTGCCAGTCTGCCCCAGACCTGCCGCCGCCGGGCCCGGGTGGGGGAGGGGAAGGCGAGGCTGGAGCGCGGAGGCACGGTCAGGAGCGCCTCTGCGGACCCTGAAGCCGCCTTCAGTTTTCCACACTGGACAGCAGCGCCCCAGAAAGCAAGCAAATCGCCAAACTTTGTCCTCGCGGAATCTGCAGAACCACTCCTAGCCCGGCCTCTGGATCCATCTGCTCGTTGGCCCAAGTGCCCACTCGCCCTTTCCCTAAACCGCAGCTTCCTCCACGGCGGGATCAGGGCGAGATCCCCTCCCCGACGTCGCTGCCGGAGAGCCCGAGGTTTGTCCATCCTCTCCGCCCTCTCCGCCCGGGGCCACTCCTCGCCTCAACAGGTTCTTCCCGGAACCCAAACTTGGGCGAAGTTTCACCCCCCTCCCCGCGGGGAACGAGGGAGCAGGGCTGGGCGCGAGGCTCCTGCGCCGAGCCGCGCAGTCCGCGGAGCGCGAGAGCCGAGCCCGGGAGTCGCAGCCGCAGCTGCAGCTGGAGCCGGAGCCGAGGGGACGCAGACAAAGCCGGAGGCTCGGCGCCGCGGCCACGGTGGCCGTGGGGGTGGCGGGGATGGTGGTCGCGGCGACGGCGGACTCGGGCTCCACTTACCCGGCAGGTGCGCGACCGGTCGGGCGAGGACGGAGCGGGTCAGG